TCTGCCTCTGTCTGTGCCTCCGCCTCAGTTCCTACTGCTGCCGCTGCTGGCGTCGCAGTCAACGCTGTAAAGTGTCGTGTTGGATTTGCGTAATTTATGCTCTATTTGCTTTTCGGCTTCATTTCACTTTTTGCTACTGTTACTTTTTGCAAAGTATTTCGAGTCTTACAACTCCCCTTGCTCTCTATGTTTGTGTGTGTGTGTTTGGGTGCGTTATGCAGTGGTTTGTGTTGGTAGTCAACAACGACCTTGATATCACCTAGAATATGAAGATTGGAGAGTTTTGTGGTTACTGGCGAAGCGAACTAGTTCCAAAAATTTGTTTTTGCAAGCCTACATGTATGTATGTACAATAAGAGATAAGAGATCTTTATTATTTGATCGTACAATGCATATATCCATGTATAATAAAGATCACTATTATATTATATTATTCAGCTGGTTCATAAGAACTAGCTCAACAAAGTTGTTAAGCAAGCCTTGTTCACATGGATTTAATTTCATTGTCTTTTATTTTTAAATATCTAACTCAATGGCTTAGTTGGTTCATATGAACTTGCTCAGCTAAATGGTTAAGCAGATCAATATGAACTACTAAATTGACTTGAGCATCCTTTAAGGGTTTAGCCGTCTTGTGATGAACCGACATGCATAACTGGGTTAAAAGAGCCGATCAGCTGACTTTTGAAGACTACTCATATGAGCTAGTTTGCTGAATGAAACGAAACTTGTTCTTACGAGCTATTTAACTGACATGCGTTCGTGGTATAGAAAAGCTGCTCAACTGACTCTTGGAGATGGTTCATATGAACTAATAAAAATGGTTCATAAGAACTACGCAGTTAGTTTACATTATGATTTGATTATGTCACTACAAAAAAGTTAATATAAGTTATATGCGGTTCGGGTTCATATGAACTAGTAGCTGGCTCATGTAGCTGGTTCATATGAACAGCTCGTTAAGCTGGCTCAGAAGAACAGCTTAAACCAATTTATAAAACCGTTTCTTTTGCTCCGTTTAACTGACTCATGCAACTAGTTCATATGAACTGTTATCTTCAAATTTAAATTCATTCCAATCGCTCCGTTCTCTTTGAGCTATGCAGAAGAGCCCATCAAGTCAAGTGTACCGCACTGGAGCTTCAACACCCAACTTCAACTCCCATTCAATTCCAGCTCCCGCTCCAGCTCCCATTACTTAGTTCAGTTTTATTTGGTTGCTGTTGTTGTGGGTGGTCGGCTTTGTTTGCTGCATTATTCTTATAACGTTGCACGATATGAGAACTCAATAAATTTGCCTTACTTTGGCGGCTGTGTGAGCCATTTCAACAGGCGATTAGTTGCCAGGTGCCTGGTGCCTGGTGCCTGGTGCCTGGTGCTTGGCGCCTGGAGCTCCGGCTATTGCCTGGTTCAGTGCCAGGCTCTGCTCCACCCGATGGCCCCACTGCCCGCGCCTGCGGCAGCTCTTGTGCAACAGTTGAGCGCCCCGGGCCAAATTGAATGGCCGGCAGAGGCACACGTGAGCTGAGCTGAGCTGAGCCTGTTGCCTGGACCTGCAACTGGCTGGAGGCAGGGGCGGGGCGGGATGGGTCGGTGCGCAAGCAAGGGAGGGCTGGGCTTGTTGGCTGGGCCTTGAGCCTGTGCCTGGAGCTGTGCTTGGGCAACTGGGCCTGGACTTGGGTGGCCCTCTAATAGGTTTTACATAACACACACGTCGCAAATAAATCTAAATGCAACAGCAGCAGCAGCAGCAGCAGCAGCGACGGCGGCAGCAGCAGCGACGGCGGCAGGAAGCTTCATGAAAAATCCTTTAGCAAATAAAATTTACATAGACCGCACACCAATCCACACACACACACACTCGCACACACACATGCACACACATGAAGGTTTTCCTGTGAATTTATTTGAAAATTTATTGAGTTTTCGTGTTAACCATGCATAATTAAGTTTTGCCAGCCGTCGACTGATGTTGGCACGGAACACCCGGTGGCTGAAACTGAAACTGGAACTGGAGCTGGAGCTGGAGCTGGGCATGCAACATGGACTCCAATCTATTGGCCTGCACCAGAAGCCAACAAGTTTTTTGCGATCCATCGCCCTATGCCCATGGGCCAGCTACAACACGTTTCAACTTATTGTAAATAAAGGATTATCAAATGCCAGCTATCATTTAATTTATTCATCATTGCATATATTTCGGAGCCATCAGTTGCGTTTGATGGCGAGTGACAGCAGTCGGAGTTTAAGCTCAGCATTGACCCCAAATGTGCGCCACAATATTTGCTGAGCCCCATTGAGCTTGCAATAAATGATAATCGAGCTGGCTGTGGAGCATTTTGTATGAACTAAATCAAGTTTAATTTATGCAAATTTATGCATACATTGATATGAGATTCTCATGCGAGATTTTATTGTGTAAGCCGTTTGCGGAGCTTTAAAAGCGCATTAAAGCTTTATAGGAGGGCGAGTGCGCTTTTTATGCAAATAAATAGTTTGCTATGAGCGCTTAGAAAGCACATTACAGAGCATTAGAGTATTAGAGCTTTTTGGCAAAAAGTTCATATACTTTATATTATTGGAGAGCTTTTTGAAGAATTTCGTACATTTTATATCATCGGATTGTTTTCCATTATCATTTTCAAAGCTGTTACTAGCCGTTAAAAAATATTTATTTGAGATAAATTATAAAATTAAATAAATTATTTATTTGATATATATATTTATACTTAGTCCATATTAAAGCACTCAATCGATATATTGGATTAAGCAAAATTAGTTTTTAGTACAAAATTATAGTTTCCTATGTTTTCAATAGAGAAAATAGCGCAAGTAAAGCCGCATAAAAGCTTATTAAAGCTTACGTTACTTTAAGCGTAAAACATATTATTTGAAAGCTTAAAGCTTTTGCAAAGATTTCCAAATTCACAAGTAATATCTATTATATATATTATTCTATTAAATTGTCAAAATTTATATGATAAGCTTTATGTTTAACTATCTGAAAGCTCTTGGCTTAAAAAGCTCTTAATATTAAAAAGTTCATTAAATATATTTTCCGAAATGGCTTCTATCAATTTCCACTGAGGTGACATGCTTCGATTAGGTCACCTTTTTTACAGGGTAGTTTTCATGTTTATTGCACATTTAGTGGCCTCAGCTGCCAGTGTTGTGTAATTTTCTGGGTGTTAAAGTAAGGCTTTCACTTTATTTACGATCGAATGGAAAGAAAAAAAAAAAAAAAGAAATGAAAACCCTTTGACAAGCTGTTCGTGCACTTCTTACACTTTCGCCTGTTATTTTTAGGGGGCTTACGGGTTGACAGTGCCGGGCTTAACGCCGTAAATGTTATTAATGCGTCGCAGGCGCTGAACGCTATGGGAAATCAAGTTATTTGACTGCTGCTCGAATTATAATTCCTGATTGCATTTATTTGCTTTATTTCTCGCACGGAACTTCATCTATAATGCAAGCAAGTTGCCAGACAGCACGGCGCCCAGTCTCCGATTGCTTCGTGCTCCCACCTTCCACCACGCCCACATTCAACTCGAACTCCAACTCGAACTGCAATTCCAATGCCAGTTCCAGTTCCGACTGCAGCTCAGCTTTTGCTCATCCATGTTGTTGCCCTGTCGCCCGTTTGCCCTTTTTGCTGCTTAAGTGAAATGCATAAAAATCAAATAATTTTCCTGTTTTTCATTTGCTTCACTTTGCTGCATTTACCGCGCACCGCCCCTGCACCTGCCCTTGCCCTTGCTCAGCAGACTGCTCTCTTCTTTTCTTTTCCTCCGTCTTCTTCTTCTCTCCAGTTTTTTTTAAGTATATGTATATATATATATATATATATATATATATAGAAATATATATACTTTGCAGTCGACTGCCGGCTGGCGTCTCCGGCCTGCCCTCTGCACCGACTGCCAGCCAGCATTCGAAATGTTAAAAGTAATTTCCTCGACTATAGTTGATAGCTACTGTGCCGGCAGCTGTTTGCACCCGGCTCCCCGCCGTCCGCCGACCGTCGCTCGTCGCCCGTCGCCCGCCTCCTGGCCTCAGCTCTGGGCGCAGCCTCTAACTGCGCCCCGGAGTAAGCTACTACGCGCTTGTCCCAGAGTCGAGGTAATGGAATGTCCTATAGCTCGTAGGTTAGCTGCCCGCCTCTCCCTCCCCTCTGTCCGCCCCTTTTAATACCCATTACATGCCGTACTCGCGCCCTCTCCCCTTCTGCTGGCAGTGACTTTCGCATGCAGCTGTTAGTATAGCATTGCACTTGGAGGCATTATTCTCTTGGAAAGTGCTCATCAAGGTTCATTTAACATTGTTTTAGCATCATAATCATAGTTAAGAGTCCACACTGCTGCAGCATATACCCTGTAAGAGTAATTCAAGCCCTCGATTGATTCAGTCTCTGCACAGTAGGCTGGAGCTCCATTTCCGTAGCAAATTATAAATTCCCAATTGAAAGCTGTTCGTGCAGTAGAGTCGAGGGAGACGAGACGGTCGCAGTTACTGTCACAGTCACAGTCGCAATCACAGTCGCTATCACAGTCGCAGTCACAATTACCATCACACTGTATTGAATGCCATCGCTAACAATGCAAACTGAAATCATTACAATGGGACAATAAAACATTATCTTGCGATTGACATTTCCATTAGGGCGCATTGGCTTATTTAGTGACATTTGTGTTAGTTTGTCGTTTTCTGTCTTCTCATTTCAGCTTACCGCCTGTTTCTCTCCCTCTCCCTCTGCTTCTCTCTCTCTCTCCCTCTCTCTCTGCTCTTCGCCTAATGCTCTTACAGTCCATATTCAGTTTATTGTTCATTTTCCTGTGTAATGCGACAGCAATGAAGGTCAGACCGAATTATTGGCATTCCCAATTGGAGTCTAATTAGCCTCGAGTCGCAATAAAACACAAAATCGTTCTTTAAAGCCAGCATCCGCGTTTTTATTGAAGAAACAACTGCAGTGTATGTAGAGTTATATAAATAACAAATGGTTTGAGTGCCTTTAATTTTTATTTGGTTTTCGATTATAAAAAATCGTAAAATTGGCATACGTCTTTTTTATTCTACATGTTATATATACATATATCTACATCACTGTGTGCATATAGATATACAGTTGCGGCGCCTTCACTGCCTTCACTGCAGACGATGAAGTGTATTAGGAAGCGCGTGTATAGTAGAACTATTTGATCTGTATGAAACTACAAATTGTATGTACGCCTTTCAATGCCCCGACCGATCTGCAAATGGAGTTATGGATTAGCGTATATAGTGCCATCTGTTGTAATCAGCGCTACTTACCAGTCACCATCTGAACTGATCGAGACGTAGTGCATCTAATAGAAAAAATTGTATATACTAATATGAATTCCATTAAAATGGAATTATATGGCATATACATAGATAACTTATCTAGTTATCTAGTTATCGTTATCTATCTAAAAAAAAAAGTGTGTCGTAAGCCGGGAAAATAATAGTCATAAGCAAGTTATGGGGAGACATGGTTCGTCCTGATGAAGTAATCTGTGCAAAGAGAAGAGAGATTTAATATGCACAAAATGGAAAAGCATTTAAGATATCTGAGCTCACCTATAGCATATGGATGTATATATATATTTGTATGGGTTCGGCAACAGAATAAGCATTTGTTGATGTTGATTTGCAATCAGAAGTTCCTAGTATTCAGATTAACAAGTGTAGAGTTTTCTGTGAAATAAAAATATGCTTCAATTGATTGGAAAAAAAAAAAAAACAAGTTAAGCTCTAGTCGAGACTGCTCGACTACGAAATTTCCCGAACCCCCTTCGAGTAACTGATATTTCAATAACTCTTCTGCTTAAACAAGAACCACACACACATAGGCACGCACGGCTTGCGAAGCAATGCTTTACGGCCGTCCCGCAAGCATCGTGCGATATCCTTAGTCACCCAAACTCGTATTGTAATGTATAACATTGTTAATATACGAATACAAAAAAATAAATAAAATTAAAAAAAAACAAGTAAGAAAGCTCTATTCGAGACTGCTCGACTACGAGATCCCCTGAACCCTTGGAGTAATAGCTATTTCAATAATTTTTCGCGTCTTTCAGCTTACACAAGAAACACGCACACACACACACACACACGCACGCATGCACACAGGCATACATACACACACATACATACATACACACACACACACACACACACACACACACACACACACATACACAAACAATTACATACATATACACACACAAGCATAAACACGCATGGGCTGCAGTGTGCGCTTACTATGAGAACTTAATTGTTTAATAACTTTTTTATGGACGTACGATCTTCATGAAACTTTTAGATTATGATTATAACATGAATATGCATGTAATTGCCAAAGCACAAGTCTCTAGTATTTGAAATACGCTTTTTACAAAAGTGAGGGTGAGGGGGTGAATTTAGAGGTGGGGGGTAAATTTTAACAAAAACCGAAATTGTATAAATTGCATATAAGCATACATTAAAAATTTGGAGACTCTAGCAATAAAGGTGTAGAAGATATAATTTTATAACTGGGTTTCGATAAGGTTTTTTATCGATAAAAAAGATCGAGATGAGTTATCGATTTTTAATGATAAACTTGATATGCGCGCTGTAATTACGGACATTTAAAAAAAAATTGAAGTCTCTAGCTCTTATATCTTCTGAAATCGACGCGTTCATACATACGGACAGACGGACAGACGGACAGACAGACGGACAGGGCCAAATCAACTCAGCTCGTCACCCTGATCAAGAATATATATACTTTGTGGGGTCTGCCACGCCTCCTTCTCCCTGTTACATACATTTCAACAAAACCATTATACCCTGATTTCCCATTGAAAATGGGTTCAGGGTATAAAAACAGGCACGCACGCAGAAGCACACATGGGCTGATTATCACTGACTTTCGATAAGATTTTTAGTCGATAACAAAACAGCGAGAAGAGTTATCGATTTTTGGAAATAAACTCGATGTACGCGCCATATATACGGATATTAAATTCAAGTCTCTAGCTCTTATATCTTCTGAGATAGACGCGATCAAGCATACGGACAGACGGACGGACAGGGCTAAATCGACTCAGCTCGTCGCCCTGATCAAGAATATATATATACATTGTGGGGTCTACCACGCTGCTTCTGCCTGTTACATACATTTCTCATTTTCAATGGATTCAGGGTATATATAAAAAAAAAAAAAAAAAAATAATAATAATAATAATAATAATTGCCTTACCCATTTAACAATAGTGTAATTATTTGTCTTTGCTCTTTTTTCGTGTACATATGTGCACGTATGGATCCGTGCTAGTGTGCGTAAGTATTTATACACCAAAGAACCTGACATTCATTGCATGCCGTATAACAACCATTTAGGCTCAGAGTTTAAAAAGCGAATCGTTATACATCGTCGAGACGTATATTGTAGCTTTCTGCAAAAAAAAAAAAAAAAAAAAAAACATACACACACACAGTTAGTATATTGTATATTGAACAATTTACGATCGAATTTAGGTTGTTTTTTTTCACCTCCGAAATATGTTGTTTTATTTCATGAACAGCAAATCAAAATTTGGAATTTTCACCGAATTTTCACAAAATAGAAACTTTCACTAGAAATTTTGTAAAATAAATAAATTTCCGAAATTATATAAAAAAATAGAAATGTTGTGTCGAGCTCGGCGACTCGAACTGAACTGAGGAAAACACATTCCATGCCTAGGCATATGGCCCGAAAAATTGGGAAAGCCTACTTGGATGCAGAAAATAAACGAAAACAAGGTAGAAAATTGAATAGAAATATGAGCATAAGACGTCAAGATATCGTTGCATAACATGTCAGTTATAATGACATATACATATGTATATATACATGTCCATATATGTATGTATATTTATATATATGTTTATATGCATATACTGCTTAGCTTTTGCTGTCACAACAATTTGCTTCGTTAAGAGCTTTTGTTGGCATTGAAGCCGCAAAGGAGCTCAACTTGTTATGCTCATTCATGAGAGTATAATGAGTATATTGGTTTTCAGCAATTTTTCTGGTCGTCTATCCATCTGTCGTCTGGTCGTCTGTCTGTCGGCCTGTCCATCTGTCCTTCTGTCCGTCTAAAACCAAACTAGAGACATGAAATTTTGAGCCTATCCATGGCAAAGCGGATGATGTATTTTCTGGTAACTCCATAATTTTCGTCGCTCTAACTGTGCGGACGCTATAAGCGGAGTTATTAAAGCCAATTTCTGTATACACCAATTGGGGGTACGGCAAATCGTAAAATGCATGTTATAGCGCTTGCTCCTCGAATGAGTATTGTGCAGCCGGTTACGCTCGACTACAACGTTCCTACTTGTTCTCTGAAGAGTTCATGAGAAGCCTTTTTGGTTGTTGCTGCTGCTGCTGCTCACGGTAACTGTTAATAGTCCTTGGCTGAGCTGCGGCCATTAATGGGGTACTTCAATTGGAATTCATAAAGGCTCAACCAGTCGCTCGCTAGTTGCTTTCCCATTCAAGTCGATGCCAAAGGCTAGACGGCATTTAAAACTATGCAAAGGCTGTGCGTGGGCGTGTGGGCGTGCGGGTGTGGGGTGTGCGGGCGCACGCGTCGTATGCGCAATGTCGAGTGCCTCGATTTACATTGCTTTCATGTTAGTGGCTTTTTCTTTGTGGCCAGAGCCACAGATAAAGGGGCAACGTGGGAGTGGGCCGGCCCCATTCAGGGTGTTAGCTGGCTGCATAATTTGTGGCATTTGGCTCGGTTTGTCATACGGCAAATCGAAATGTTATTTATATGCCGTACGTGTGCGACCGCCGTGCCACGCAGCCGAAGCTGATGACGACAAATGCGACAATGTCGCAGACGTGCACGGCTTATCGCTGGCTCTGGCACCGCCCCGGCGTACCGACCCACCCCACTCTACGCATTTGTGATAAGGTTTTTACGTGTCCGTTGCCAGTCAGCCAGACAGTGAGCCACTGAGCCACTCAGCCAGCTCCTTTGCCAAGGTGACCAACTGCCACCTTCGGGGGCCAATTTGTAAGGGCCATAAGCTGCGAGCATTCATGAATATAATCACAATTTAATTAAACACATTCAACCAAGGTCTGGGCCAAGAGTCTGTTAGGCTGACAGTCGACTGACAAGCGTAGCTGCATACGAGTTCGCGATAAGGTTTTAAGCACTACAATTAAGTGTTGGAAAAGGCACTAAATCGCTGATAAGTATATGTCGTGAGTTATGACATGAAAATATGAATCTAAAGGTGGCGATGAAAATTCATTTGAAATTTATATGAATACGGATTGAAGCGTGAGTATGTGAGTGGGTGCGAATGTGAATGTGAATGTGAGTATAAATGTGAATATGAAAAGAAATATGAATTTGAGCCAGCATGAATATATGTGGGAGTAAGCGGGTGTACATGAATATGAATGTGAATAATAATTAGAGAATGAATATTAGGCTAACTATAAATATGAACCTGAATAAGAATTCGAAATAAAGTTACATATGAATACGAATTAGAGTATTTATAAGGACATGAACTACAATATGAATATGAGTTTGAATGTGTAATAAAATATATATGAAGATAAATATGAATTTGTGTTGAGTAGAAGTATAAATAGATTTACGAATATGAATTTTAAGTTGAATATGAATATGAATATGAATATGAAAATGAATATGAATATGAATATGAATATGAATATGAATATGAGTATGAATATGAATATGAATATGAAAATGAATATGAATATGAATATGAGTATGAATATGAATATGAATATGAATATGATTATGAATATGAATATGAATATGAATATGAATATGAATATGAATATGAATATGAATATGATTATGAATATGAGTATGAGTATGAGTATGAGTATGAGTATGAGTATGAGTATGAGTATGATATGAGTATGAGTATGAATATGAATATGAATATGAATATGATTATGAATATGAATATGAATATGAATATGAATATGAATATGAATATGAATATGAATATGAATATGAATATGAATATGAATATGAATATGAATATGAATATGAATATGAATATGAATATGAATATGAATATGAATATGAATATGAATATGAATATGAATATGAATATGAGTATGAATATGAATATGAATATGATTATGAATATGAATATGAATATGTATATGAATATGAGTATGAGTCTGAATATGAATATGAATATGATTATGAATATGAATATGAAAATGAACGAGTATGATTATGAATATAAGTATGAATATGATTATGAATGTGTATATCAATGAGGAAATTAATAGTAGTATGAATATGAAGAAGAGCATAAATATGAATATTAGGACGAGTATTAGTATTAACAGCAAAAGTGTGAATGAACATAAGTGTGTGAATAGGAATTGCATATGCAAATGAGAGCTAATACGAACATAAATATAAATTTGAATATGAATGAGCAGAGGTGTGAATTAGGCCATTGAATGTTCCAATATTCCACTGGGCTATTCAAATTTAAGGCAATGTAGCTGCACAGCGGCGCAGTACGCAAATGTATTTATAAATCAATGAATTGGTAAATTAATGATTAAAATAGTATGTTTGATTGCAACTCTCGAAACAGTCTGAGCCAACAAAATGAACTGACATTTGCAGGACGGCCATTCATTCATATTTGATACATAATTATGAATGCATTCGGAAATATGAATTGAAGCATAAATATCAGATGCATATTAGCATATTAATTACGAACATCCATCCCGAACTGTTTCGATGAGGTAGCTAATTACACACCCGGCTGATCCTGAGCCCAAAACCGTCTGCTCGTCTGGCTGTAAGCAGATAAGCAGTGCAGAGCTGACTGACGCTGACTGCACTCCAGCCCGGAACAAGGTGTTGCCGACAAGCTCATTCACTAAGGCTACAAATTTATGAGCCAATGAATATGAATATCAGAAACGTATGCCAGATCGTATATTTGCTGCTAACGATGCCGCAAAGTTGCGCTTCTGCCGTGTCTAGTGTCTAGTGTCTTGTGTCTTGTCTCTTGGCAGAGCTCATCAAATAGTTAACGTACTTTTGGCACTTGCTCTCAACTCTGCTCAGAACTATGCAAGTTTTCGTTTACGCATCTGTGAACCTTTCGGAACAACCTTTATGGGTGGAGAGTGGAGAGTGGGTTGGGTAGTAGCTGTGCTTAGCCTGGCTGGTCTGGCTGCCTGTTGATTAGAGCATCGCATCCACTTCACTGTGCCTGGCTCTGCTGCTGCGCCTCGCTGCATTGTTCTGCATACTCCGTTTTCTGTCCTTCCATCGACTGCAATAAAAATGTGTGTTTATTGATGCAAAACTTGGTTGCTGCAGCACCAACTGCCAACGACAGAGCCGCAGTTGAGAATGGATTTAGTTCGTGACATCAGCAGCAGCAGCAGCAGCAGCAGCAGCAGCAGCAGCCACAGCCGCATTCACAATCGACAGCAGCAACAATAGCTAGCAACAGTGACATCGACACCTGGCGCTGCTACCTCTCTCCCTCTCATTCTCACTCTCTCTGTGTCTCTCTCCCTTTCGTTCATTTTTCAACTGGTTTTTGCTCTTAGCCAAGTTTTTAGTTGGTAATGAGACCGCAGCGGCCGCAGTGTTTGAGCAACGAGTGCATAATAAATATGCAAACTTTGTGGCAAGTGGCAGCTGACGGCGCTAATCAATGCGCAAAATCAAAAGTAAACAAATGTTTGCCAACCGCACCAACGGCCATTTGCGCGTGTGGGCCAAGTGGGCATCGGCTGGCAGGACTGGGCCAGGGCAGGGCAGGGCAGGGCAGGGTAGGGCGAGGCCAGCAGCCAATGTCGAAAGTGGCGCCCGCAGCAGCCATCACGTGGCTGCCACTTGACTTTAGCGTCCTTGTCACAATGGCAACACTCACACACTGACACATACGCACACACACACACGCACACTGGCACACCCAGTCGCTGTCACACAGACATGAGCGTACGGACTCGTTTTCATTTCTATTTCTATTTCTATTTCTATTTCCAACTTGCACTTCATCGTCAACGGGCCATCAATGGCAACGTGTCGCATTACTCAACATGGCTACGTGACTTAAATGCTGCCATGGCTGCCACGGCTGCCACGGCTGCCAGGGCCGGCTGTCATTCTGCGGTCTGCTGTCCGGGATTCGCCGTCCGGTGCTGCTCTCTCGCTATCTGGCGCTGTCCCGCTTCTGGCCAAGACATAAAGCCCGCGCCGCACATTACGTAATGAATGGAAGCGCCCAACACTTCGATGCTCAAGCAGCTCAGCTTGGTTATGCAAACAGCAGAGAAATAAAGAAAGCAAAATAAATAAATAGAAATAAAAAAGAAACACAAATGTTTGTGTAAGCGAACCGAACGAAGGCGCTTCGAGATGGCCACGTGACAATCAAATTGCAAAAAATAGATACAAATAAAAAATAGTAATAAAAAAAAAACTGCAAATAGACAAAATCCGTTTTCTTACGAAGAAATATCCTTAAATTCGAAACAAATTAATTTCTCTTCTATTGATAAATGCTTATTCAAGTATTTATTTATATCTGATATTTGTACAAAGACTTATATATATTTATATATTGAAATACAGAATAATAACTATATAGATAAATATTATCAAGTAATTATTAAAAATAAATAAAATAAACAATAAAAAAAAATATATGTAGCTTCGCTTTAAGGAAATTCTCTTAAATTTCAGCCTTAATTTGTATGCGCCCAAGGGCGGATATATTGAAACTAATCTCATTAGAGACCAATTACAAACGTGCTTTAGGCCCTAACGCTGAGCTCGTGAGTGAATTTCATATAATATAATATAATATTTATGAGCATAAATGGCATATCATTATATTTGTTATTTTCATTGGTATCGTCATTGGTCATTATCATATTCATACTCATTATACTCATTCATGGAGTAAAATGTTCGTCTGTCTGTTCGCCTGACGATCCGTTCATTTGTTCATATAAAGCTACAGATTTGAAATCTATAAAAAAGACACTATTCTAGGATTTACCACTTTTAATGGGCTCAGGGTATAAATATTCAGCTGCACAAGAATTTTCCGATATGCACAATTCCTCTTATTTGCAGAGCCAAAGAGTAGAAGCCTGGAATTTATAAATGACATTCCAAAACTGCAAAAGAAGAAAGGTTAGGCTGATAAATCTACGTCAATTGGCCAAATGGGTAAACCTTACAGTTAATTTTAAGGTCTTGTAAATCTTGCCGCAGACATGAAACGCCCACGTCCAATACGGGCGTGGCAAATCGCATCTACCCATATAGCGTTTTGTATATGTATATTATGTTTTATATCCAGCACTATAAGTGTCAGAGACTTCATATTTTGCAAGAAATACTCAACGAGCTCTCCCTCACTCCTCTAGCGCACATATGACTTTTGATTGCTTCTTGCTGTCTGGAAATAAGCTTCTCTTACCCCCACTGAGAAAAAAGTTGAGAGAGCAAGCGATGGCTTCGGTTCTCTAACGAGCTCGTTCGCGATCGACGAGCAAGTGAGATCGTTTGCTTGAGTTGGTATTGGTATATATGTAAGCGACTGTTGTGCTCGCTAAACACATAAATAGTGTACGAAAATTGAGTGTGTGAATGTGTATGTGCTTTTGAGTAACTTGTCATTGCCTACTAAGTCTCATTGTGCGAACGTCAATTCGGTCTCTCCCTCAACGATGTTCGTTTAAAGGCGCTCAATAGAATACATAAACGAACAGAGCCGACGCTGCTTAGGCAGAGCGAGTGTGAGTGAGAGCGTAAAGAATCAAACGATCAACTGTTATTTGTAAGCTACGCCTACTCCTCATCAGCAGCAGCAGCTGAGCTGATCTAGCCAGTCTGTCGGAGGGTGTGAACGGGGTCACATCTACTGAATAACAGTTGTACATATTTAATTTTAATTTTCTTTGTATATATTTATTATTATTATTATTATTGTTATTGTTATTATTATCTATCTATTATTATTATATTATTATTATTATATTTTTATTTTTAATATTTATTATTATTATTATTATTGTTATTGTTATTATTATCTATCTATTATCTATTATTATTATATTATTATTATTATATTTTTATTTTTAATATTTATTATTATTATTATTATTATTATTAATTTTCTTTTTATATAAATTGTATTATTATTATTTTATTAATATTCAATATATTATTATTTTGATCATTTATGGATGCAGCCAAGCCCCATAACGCTGTATGAGGATTTTAAACAGTTGTACATGTAAATCCATCAATAAGATCTATCACACAGAGCCGGTGCTTTATTCTTAAGTTAGTCTTAATTTTAGACGAATTCTAAATTCTAATAAATGAATAAAATAAATCTATTTCAGCAAAGAAAATATTTTATAATTTTACCTATTTTTTTTTCGAATACATCGATAAAAATGCTTCAGCTAATAATTTGCCTTGCTTTAAGGGAAATTCATTTATTTTTGCTATTGTTGGTTGTTCTATCATGCATTGCTTTAAGCTTTCGCTTCAGACTGTCGCTCACGATGCGCTCACGCTGTCATCTCTGGTTGGCACTTGGTGCTGCAGAACTTTTCCACTTTTCATTGCATACTTTTCAGCTTGGCGCACGCAGCTGTTGCTCGCAAAGTTGCTCGAGCGTCCGGCAATGTGCACTATAACTAATCCTATTTATCGGATGTTGTCATATCACGCGCGCGTCATTTGACCCACACACGCTCCACACACACACACACACACACACGTATATATATATGTATTTAGTTATATATATATATAGATTGGGTGGATATCTCACGTTTCTGTCTCAATAGCATTTGCTTGGCTTGACCATGTGCGCCCTGGCTGGGATCACAGCATCGGTGTCGACATCGTGCCACGTTCATTGCCATTGTCAACATCTTGTGGCCAGCAGGGACACGTAGCGACACGGGCTGTGGCAGGAGTGGTCAGTGGCACGACCCACTCAGTTCCTGCTCCTGCTCCTGCTCCTGCTCCTGCCCTCTTCCCCCTTCGCCGTGCGCCTGCCCAGTCCTATGACCACAATTTGCATTGGCTGCTGTCAAACGCAGCGAGGCGTCTGCCAATTTATGAAAGCGACCCTTGAACCGCCAGCGCCGTTTGTTATGCAATAATTTATAAATTTTTTAAGCACAATAAAAATTGAATTAAATATAAATCAAAGCGCGCGCGCACAAACAAAGACAGCCAAAAGGAGTAAAAATATAAATAAAATGCAAATCAAGCAAAAAGGCGGCACAAACTAAATACTTTACAGGGGCCAGGGGCGGCCCATTAACAGGGGACAGATCGGTGCGGACTCATGTGTGTGTGTGTGTGTGTGGAAAGTTTTTAACTCTTGCAACCGCAGACAATTGCCACATGTTTGTACGGCGCCTGTGGCAGACCCTTGACCACGCCTCCAGCCGCACGCTGCTCAAAATTGGCCACAGACCAAAAGTGCCAAAAACGTTTGCAGCAAATAACAACAACAACAACAACAACAACAACAACAGCAGCAGCAGCAGCAGCAACAATAATAGCAACAATAGCAACTGTTTTTTTTTTTTTTTTTTTTTTTGTTAAATTGTTGCCACTCGTTGAACAAGCCGCCCACAGCCTGCACCACAGTGCGAGCCACTCGACACCATTCGAACCACCCAGCACCACCGCCGCTCGCTTCTGTTTTGCCTTTTTATTGAACTCGCAGACGGTTGACAAAAAACGCCGCACAAATCCTTTTTGTTTTCATTCACAATTGTTTTTTAAACAACTTTATGCGGATGTTCTGTGAAACGATTTCGCCTGCATTTCAGCCATTCTTAATTAAATGATCTTTTGAGCTAAAGTAGATTAAATCACATCATAAGATATGTATTTACACTGATTTATTGTTAAAAGTTTAGTGATTTAAGGAGAAAGGATATTAGAGAATCAGTTCTAGCAATAATTAATATACGATTAGATATATTTGATTTTTAAATATGAAATCAAACAAAAATTTAAAGAGATCATTTTGTTACAAAAAGAAAGTGAAATAAAAATTCTGTGGGGATAATAAATATATTCATAAGCAAATATACTTGAAAAAAAAAAAAATTTAAGTAAAACAAATTTTTTTTTATAAGTATTAAACTACAAAATGTATACTATAATTTGCTGCTAAAATAAAATAAAAAACGAATTTTTTCTTTACTAACAAAGTTATATTCAATTTAAAAAAAAGTCATAAGTGTGCAAGGTTTGCAAAAAAAAAAAAACATTTTGTGTATATAATATTTTTCATTTTTTAATAATTCAACAATAGAGATATAAATTACAAATTAATTTTTTAATTTTTTTTATATAAATATAGATATAATTTTTATTTATTTTTAATTTAAAATTGGTAATTATACCATTTACAGTAGAATTCGGCTATAACGACTCCGCTTATATCGTCTGTCCTTGTAAATCATAAAAAATAATTCAAAAAATAAAAAAATGTGAAGCTGTTACAAAAAAGAATTAATAAAATTCTTATTATTAAATAAAAATATGTCTTTAATTTAACAAAATAAATATAAATTATAAAAACATTGTAGAGATAGTATAAAAAATGAATAAAATTCTTATTGTGAAATTGCAATCATAAAATTCTGACAGATAGCTAATTATACATAAATATATAGTAATATGTATTATATTTTTATATGCATGTATATAACTTCACGAGAGTGAGAATTTGTCTCTGCTGAAGAAGAAGATGAAGCTGTTAGAATTGCCACACGATAATATAGTGCAAAATGAAATTCCTTAAATTATTTATATTAAATATTAATTTTATTTTTTATTGCAGACGATCTTGTAGTTTGTGGAATGCGATTGCCGCGCAGCCCGCTTGCAGTGCAAATGCGTTTCAGTGAGCAGCAGCAGCAGCAGCAGCAGCAGCAGCAGCAGGCGTCGCGTATGTCCTGGCGTGGTCGTGAATCCTGTGCACAGTGTTGTCTGTCCTTTTTGGCCGCTTGTCCCATGTCCTGTGTGTCTCGTGTCCTCGACCTGGTCTTTGTATGAAAGTCATATCCATTGCGTGTTGTTGTCGCGTTTTTTCAAGCGTACTGTAATTTTTTTATGCGCTGATTCCTGCACAGCCCGCCCGCGCACTCGGCACTCCCAACAGCCCACACCACCCCCCCCTCCCCCGCCCCTCTCATCATCCGACTGCCAGTGTGTCTACGCCTGTGCGGCTAGACGCATAAATATTCTGATTTGGCAAAAATTATATGCTCGTACGTGCTGCAGCTCCGGCAACTGCCCCTCGCGCTGCTCCGGTCGAGCCTTTGTCTCGATCTCCCCGCTTGCCCGCAGAGACAGAGTGCGGCCGGAGCCGGAGTGAGTGCTCTACGCCCAACCAACTGGCTCGATAATTTTTCGTCGCCAAGCGGCGCTATCGAACCCGCTCTCTCTCATTCTGTCTCTCTCTCTTTCGGAGCTGGCCAACTGGTGGCCGTCGCCCGTTGCGCTGCTTTATGACAGCGCATAATTTACAAATGGGCCAAAAGCCTGTTGCATAAATTTAAAACCCAGGCACGACCCCTTTCCAGGACGCAACGCGGTGTTGGCCACGTCAAGCGGCGCTTGGCTCGAGCCGCTTAAAGCCGCAATTCGCGTTCGCGTTCGCGTTCGCATTCGCGTTGCGATTCATTTGCATGTTGTGCGCTGCTTGCTGCCGTGGCCTGCCGATGTCCTCGGCGTAGGCGTCGCCCTCCAGCCTTGTCCGCCTTATCACCGCTGCCCTCATTGCTTCAGTCGGCTTGTCGCCCTCTTCTTCTCATTATTGCTCTGCTTCTTTTTTGGGGCCTGGAGACGCTTTTATCTTGTGAATGGCCCAAACTACTTTTAAGTTGTTGTGTCCGCTTCACAGTGGACATTAACTGGATTTATAGCGATTAAAAATCGGCTTTTATGCAAATGCCTCGAGCGCTCTCGCTTAACTGTTACACGGCTATCGGTTAAATGATTCCATTACTTTACTCAAAGTAGTTCGAGCTATGCGGGCGAAATAAAAAACATCGCATATCCATTCATATTAATTAGCATTACAATTATGAAAAGTAGCAAATATTTTGCGGCAAACATTGAGCATGATTTACCGCATTGCAAAGCAATGAATTATAATTAAATTGTACATAAATTATGCAGTTAATTAGCAAAGCGTACGGCGATTGTCACACAGAACATATTTCGATTTTATGTTCTAGATATTTTAGTATATATTTAATGAATATTACTATAATAATAAAAAATAAGAGGAAATATTGAATAAATTAAGTCAAACGAATTTTTTGCTATATAATTGAATAGAACACTAATTAACAATTAAATAAAAATACATAGAAAATAATTGAACTAAAGTAATCAAATATTTGCTTAATTACAGAATAATTAAATTAAAATAATGTAGGTAAAAAAAAATTGAGTTACATCTTTCTGTTTGATCGATAATACGAATTATTCATGTAGAATTAAAGAAAATCTTTTGATTAAAATAAAAAATTACAAATAAAAAATAATTAGAAAATGTAAATTTAATTTTTAATGTTGAAAATGTAATCGGAAGAAATTTAGACTTAAATCAATTTACAGAAAATGAAAAAAAAAAAAAACATATATATATTTGCATTAATAAAATTGAATTTAAAATATTAAGTTAAAGAAAATCCAATAAAAAATTTATTAGATTA